GTATCTAGGCGATCCATCACAGGCCGAGGATCGTGTAGCGGACCTCGGGTTGGCCTGTGAGACCAGCCCCTTGGCCTGTTCTCACAGGCCTGTGGGGGTATACCCCAACCATTGTCTGTTTTCAGGCCATTCTTCACTTGCACATTTTGGAGTACATGCGTTGGAGTCTTGCGTGGGGAGCTGCGCTGTGCATCTTGCTCCCCCCCTTCTTCCTCCATCTCCACCTCTGTCACTAGCGGAGCACCACACCCAGTGGTTCCGCCACATCCGCTAGCGCTCGAAGGACTGGTCATACCAGAATTTTGACCCCTATATGCCCTCTCTTGTAGTGATTGTCCGCTGCCAAAATTCGTCCACCTTGACACAAATGTCGAACCCCACCATACCGCAAACCTTAAGGTTGTGAACTATACTTCAGTTGTAGGGGTGCGAAAACTTTTGTTCGTAGCTCTAAGGCTGCGGTATAGTGGGGTTCGATGTCTGTGTCAAGGTATCACATTTTTGGCGGTGGGCGACCACGATGCAAGAGGGTTTTTTGGGGGGGAGGGGGGATTTGGGGGATTGGTCCTTCAAGATATTGCAAATTACCTAGAGCTAGCTCTTGTTTAACTGAGACTTCTGGAAAAAGGAATGACTGGTCCTCGGGTGGAAGCGGACCCCAAAAAGAAATGAGGGCAAAGGCCCAGGCGTTGAGACGCATCTTCTCAAAACAGAGAGGTCAGGCGCAACGAAATAGATGTTTTGCAAGAGAAAACTTTGACGATTTTCTGTGCTCGGAGGACTCCGCAAAAAAATTTAAAATTTTGAAAATCCATACATGAGGTCGTGTTCTTTCCAGGAAAAATGTCATAACATTTTCAAAAGATCATTTAAATCGCGAAATAATAGTCGAGCCGATTCGACACATTTTTTATTTTTGCCACTCAGCCATGTGTGGACCAACTTAAAAAGTTATCAAAATTCAATGAGTTTTCGTGCTTAGAAGAATGCGTGAAAAATCCTGAAAATTGGAGTTTTTGTATATCTTGTTGTGATCTTTCGGGGAAAAATGCTAAATAAATAAATAAAAATCATTCCAATTGTGAAATAGATCGTGGCCGCAATTTGACCCATATTTTAATTTTGCCATTCAGTCTCTCTCTCTCTCTCTGTGGTAGCCCCCTCTCCCCCCTCTCCCTCTCTCTCTCTGGTAGCCCCCCCCCCCGCTCTGCCTCTCTCTCTCTCTTTTTTTTCCTCTCTCTCACTCTCTGTCTCTCTCTCTCACTCATATCAACAAATGGAACAAGACTCTCTCTCTCTCTCATATCAATAAATGGAAGACTCTCTCTCTCTCTCTCTCTCTCTCTCTCTCTCTCTCTCTCGTGCGCGCTCTTAGTCTCGTTGCTTTTACTACCTTAGGGCTGTGTTCCCTGCACCCACGCGGTAGACAATCCCCTAAGAACCCACTTGCGGCTGCCAAGATTTGTCCCCTAAGAACCCACATTCAGTGGTTTTTCGTGGGGGTCCCTTAAAAAATGTGCCCCCATAATACGTTCCGAGGGACCCCTTAGCGTATGTGCCCGTAAACACGTTTAGGTGAAGGGTCGGTTCCAACAACACGTGAGCGAAAAAAAAGAAAAGAAACCGTAGCTTTGTTGCGGCGCGGGGGTAACGTCCTCGCTCCGTCGTCCCCTGCTACAGGTAGCACGCCATCTTGATGCCGGGGCAAGGTCCCACTTGCACGGATTAAGAGTTTCTGGCCGTTGATCTTCGCTATCTACGGTCAATACCGCCTAATTCGTGTAAGTGGGACGTAGCCCCCGGGCAATCCTCACCGGTACTCCTTCGACAGCATCAGGGCCACTCAGGCAAGCAGGCACTCAGCCACTCAGCCACACAGCTAGGCAGTCACTCAGCCACTCAGGCAGGCGCCCACTCTGCCACTTGGCCACGCAGCGCTTCTTCCACGCAGCAACGTTGCGCGCCAAGTTTGGCGACAACGAAGCCAGAGACATCGGTGAGAATCGAGGTGCGTTTTGGCGCGGGAGGTTGGCTAACTCCTGTCGTGCGCCTCTCTCTCTCCCTCTCTCTCTCTCTCTCTCTCTCTCTCTCTCTCTCTCTCTCTCTCTCTCCCGCCCCGATTGTCCATCACATCCACCTTCCCATTTTCTTCACTCTCTCCTCCTTTTATTTATTTATTTATTTTAATTAGTAATCTATATATCTATCTGTCTGCTTTCGTCTATAAATTCGTGCTTCCCACATTTTTCTTCTCTCTCTCTTTTCTTTCTCTCTCTCTCTCTCTCTCTCTCTCTCTCTCTCTCTCTCTCTCTCTCTCTCTCTCTCTCTCTCTCTTTTCTCTCTCTCTCTCTCTCTGTGTTTTGTTTCACTAACATATCCTGCTTCCCGCCTTTCTCTCTCTCCCTCTCTCTCTCTCTCTCTCTCATTTCGTCGATCACATCAAGAATGAATGGGGGGTAGCTCGAATATGAGCCCTCGCTGCGCCGCTCGCCAAGCGTGAAAAAGCGAAAAAGAGGAAACGTCGAAGGTGAGTGTGTCTTTCTTACTACTACCGGTAGCTGAAATTGCACACTCACCTTTCGCGCATTCGGTGAGTAATGCCGCCAGGCTCATCATCCTGCTATCCCCCTAGCTTTGCTTTCTTTTTCTTTTGTTTTAAATTCCCCCTTCCTTTTTTTCCCTCGCATTTCTATCGTTCACCCGTCCGCTCCCGGCGCCCCCCCCCTTTCTCTCTTCGCTCTGCCGATTTGTACGTCCGTAATTGTGTGCGTGTGCCGGTGTGTGTGTGTGTGTGTGTG